ATATTTGTTTGCTAAAATCATGCGAATAAACATTCTAGATCACATAAATTTCTTATTTTCACATTAAAAAATATTCATATTCAAAAAGCAATCGGGTAATTATAGCACAAAAGATATCTACAAAATTTATCATTAATTCAATTAGTTAATGATTTTTTATTTGGTCAAACAGTTAGTTAATGATTATTCTAAACTTCTTTTTTCTTATTAATTTCACACAATCTTAACAAAATAAATCTTCATCCATGGCAATTTACATATCATTACTATTATCAAATATTAAATAATTGCTTTATCAAATCATAAACTACATTTTGAGATTATAAACATATAGAATTTCTATTAAGATTAAAACTAAATAACAAGTGGATATATCACATTTAAATGATTTTAACGACTTATTACCAATTTTTAAATAATAAATGGATTATGTTTTTAAGATTTAATTTAATTGAAAACAAATAAAATGTCAAATTGGTATGATATAAATGATATAATAAATAAATATCTACAAACATTATCTCACATATACGTACAATTTTAAACTATCCTTGACAAATATGATATATAAATTTTGGATAACCGGTTGAAAAAAAAAACTGGTAGTTATATTTAACTCTAAAATCTCAAAATGTTGAACAAAATTCAACTTTGGGACGTATAAATCTCTACTTTTGGAAGATTATATAAAATTTTACATATATTAAAATTATATTTAGTTACATGTAAATGGTGTTATTTATAAAAAAAATATAAACTTATAGGAATGGATATGAGACGGGAACATATAATTCGAAAAAAACATTATCTGAATTATTTCTCAAAAAAAACAAAACGTGATTAGATATAATTGTTATGAGACACGGTCATAAAGTTAAATTCACTTTCAACTTTCAAATATAAAACTACGAGTACGATACGAGGACATGTAATTTAAATTGTTAAATTTAATTTCCACTTTCCTATTTATTTCAAATATTTAGAAGTATTTAGACATGAAATGACGGGTACAAGAAGATAACGTATACTTCGGATAACAAAACTACAATAAATCCATGTATTAAAAAAATAGAGATACTTAAATCTTTAGAAAACAAAAAGGCTAAAACATGAATCGTTGAATTGAAGAAAGTAATGAGAAATAAAGATGAAACTGAAAGATCAATAAAATTAAAAATCGAACAAGGATTGTGTACGCTAGGATTACAAACAGTGCCTTGTGAATGAAAATGGTGGGAGCATGTGACTTAGATTGATAATTAGATTTTTATTAGTTTGATAAAAATAAATATTTAAACGAGGAATTCGGGTATCCTGTCTAAATGTTTTACCAAGTTTTTTATAATAAACATTGCCAAATGATTATGTTTTAAAAAGAAACGATTATGGGACGGATATTTTATGACAGATAGAAGACGGGACGGGACGGGGCGGGGTGGGACGGGACGGGTCAGGACGAGACGGAAAGGGACATGACGGGTTTTCCATTATAAACTACACATAAAACAATTCAAACTAAAGATAAACCCAAATCCGATTTAACATGTCTAAGCAAACAGTTAGAAATGTTTTGATTAGTTTAAAAAATAAACACCTTATATCACTTATCATTTTCATTAAAATAATTTTAAAATTGTATTATGTAATACAATATCTATATTTTACAACTGTATGTCTATATATAGTTTATCAAATATACTCATATAGCAAAATTTTACCAAAATAGCATCTAATTAAAAAATCGTAATTTTGTAAAAATAACCCCGCACGTACGTGCGGGTCCATCACTAGTTTCGTTTAAAACAAAAAGCTTATATAAGATGTTATATGGTCCCCATTTTGTATTAAGTGAATCATTGATCCCATAGAGAAAAATTGTTTCAGAAATATATAATGAGACTTTTTCTTCTATTATACGTAGTTGTAGATTTAAAATAGATAAAGATCGACAATGTAAACAATATATATAAAAAGATTTCTTTTATGAAATCTCTTTTTATACTTTGTAAAAAAAAAGAAAAAAAAAACCGTTTGAAATGTAAAGTTAACTTGATATATCATTTATATATATATATATATATATATATACATATATAAAGTAGCGGGTCAAATTTATTTTAAACAATTAAAATGATAAAAAAAAAATTCATATTGGTGCAATCTTAAGTCATCAAACTGTGGTTTAGGTGTCAACTGTGGAGGGAAAACCAACTTTGCTACTGTTATTTCAGCAATTTACAAGCAAAAACATAGTATTCACTATTTTACCCGGGTTAATTGACCCACCTACCTTTTACCTAAGTCCGCCACTATATATATATATATATCAGATATATAGTAGAATAGAACAGATAAATCGAATGATTGAATAAGGAAAACATTTTTGTAAAAACATTTTCTCCAAAACAATTATAACAAAACACTAAAATAATTAATTTTAGTAGTATGTAACAAAATTATCATTATCACCCTCATCAAAGTGTATAGAGGTATATACATATTTAGTAACTAATGTCAAAATAAGGCTCAATAGTGCTTCAACCTAATCATTGTAGAAGAGAAATGAAAGAGCATCATTACTGTCCATTCATTTGCGACAAATTGACATCCATTAATTTATTTTCCATGTCGACTGCTTATTCATCAATTAAACACCGATTTCTCTGGAGGATTCCAAATTGAATATATGACCGTCCAAATAAAAAAGAATAGTTTCTCTCATAAGAAGATACTATATATAGACCGACTGTAAAAATTTGAATGTGATATCTATCTAGATATTTGTTGATATACAGATAAAACAAAAACAGATAGATGAGATTGAGAATTAGAGACAAAAAAAAAAAAAAAATCTATGGACACTATATGAAAATCTATGGTGGCAACGAGTGAATTAGTGTAGGTTAGTTATTATTTTAGTTATCTTTTGTTATTTAAATCCCATTAATTAGTCTAATCCCTCATAATCTAATTTGTAGTTGTACGGTACGAACAAGATGTTGGTTTCTTATCCTTTTAAAGGTAACTACTGTGAATCACATCATCATGATCATGACTCATGAGTCATAAGTTTTATGCACTTGTGTTGTGTTATGTATAGAGATAGGAATGTTTTATGCACTTGTGTTGTGTTATGTATAGAGATAGGAATGTTTTATGCATTCACAAATTATTAACTGCTTAATTATCACATATATATTGTGAAAACAGTAAAATAAAATTTTGAGTAAAACCAAAACTTAACCCCTTTATCAAAAAGGAAAAAAATTGAAAACATTGGAATGATTCCATTATTTAAATAAAAAAAGAAAACTTATGGTTCGACTCACTTAGTTCACCGACTATTCTATTTACTCATAGCTAGAGTACAAGAAAACAAAAACCCTCTCACATGTTAGATAATTTCACTAAAATACACATGAATAAAAGATTATATATATTCATTCATATTGAAAGTAAACAACAAAACATAGAACTAGAAGAGATATATCAAAGAAAAAAAAGAAAAATGAGTAACAAGGTGGAAGCACGGAGCATGGAGATTTCCATGGAAGAAGAAGGTTCTATAAAGAAGAGGAAGAAGGTTCAAAACTTCCCGAAGAAGATGAAGAAGATTATAAAGATTCTATGGAATTTTGGAAAAGAAGATCCGAGGAGAGTGATACATGCTTTGAAAGTAGGAATTGCCTTAACACTTGTGTCTTTGTTGTATCTCATGGAACCTTTCTTCAAAGGTGTTGGTAAAAATGCACTTTGGGCAGTCATGACCGTCGTTGTCGTTCTTGAGTTCTCTGCCGGTAAGTTTGCATTCTATAGGGACAGATAGATTGATAGAGTAACTAGATATATATTGTTCTTATTATAAGATCTTGCGATTAGACCAGCATATGAATAATGACTTGCATTTTTTTTTTTACTTATGATCTTATCTTAATTTGCTCATTCATGTTCATCCTTTTTTTTTCTTGTGATCTTATCTTAATTTGCTCATACATGTTCATGTTTTTTATTTTTTTTGTGAACTTTTTGTTTTGTCTTGACATTCCTATGATATTTTTTCTAAACGAAAAGTGGTTTAACTCATGAGACTCAAAGTCAAATGTTAACATTTAGTGTCTTAATTCATTAGTGATATGTGATTAAAATAATAATAATTTGGGTATCAAATATATAATTTTGCAGGTGCAACATTACGGAAGGGATTAAATAGAGGATTAGGGACACTAATAGCAGGATCTTTGGCATTTTTTATTGAGTGGGTTGCGATTCACTCCGGTAAAATTCTCGGAGGTATCTTCATTGGCACTTCTGTTTTCATCATCGGTACGTATTTTTTTTATATATTTGCTTTAATCGATTCTTATATACATTTATATTATTTGACAATAATTAATGTCTGTATAGAAATATATATAAAAATAAACACATATGATTGATTTGTGATCTATATTTATATATATGAAAGGTGGTCTAAACTAGGGTACACGTTATCGAACAATAAATATCTAAAGTCTTAACGTATATGTAGATGTTTTAGAATGAATGTTTGATGTTGAGACTAAAGAAATCTGTTTCCATTATTAATTAAGCATAGAAAAAAATTCACATTATTAATTTAATAAACCAATTGACATGTAATAAAAAGAAAAATAAAATAACACATTACTCATAACAAATCTTTTAATTTTAATAATTGAACCTATCATTTTTGTTTATTTCTTTCCCTCATATATAGTCATATCTAATTTTATTGTTTGCTTCTTAGTTATACAAGACAAATCTTCTAAAGCCCTTAAGAATGAATGAACTTCCAGAAACTAATCGCTTTGTATATTCATGTGTATTAGGATCGACGATAACATACATGAGATTTATCCCGTACATAAAGAAAAACTACGATTATGGTATGCTTGTATTTCTTTTGACATTTAATCTAATCACAGTATCGAGTTATAGAGTCGATACTGTGATTAAGATTGCGCATGCAAGATTATATACCATTTGTATCGGTATCGGCATTTGCCTCTTCATGAGCCTTTTGGTTTTCCCGATATGGTCTGGTGATGACCTTCATAAATCCACTTTTACTAAGCTTCAAGGCCTCTCTCGATGTATTGAAGGTACGTACATATTCCTCAAATGAAAACACTAAACATGCTATAATTAGAGTTATACGTACAAATACATTAATATTGATCGATATCGTTTTTTTTTTACTCTATACATAGCATGTGTGATTGAGTATTTTGAGGATAAGGAGGGAGACAAAGAAACATCAGATTCAGAATCTGATGATGAAGACTTGATTTACAAAGGGTACAAGACTGTTTTGGATTCTAAATCAGCCGATGAAGCACTCGTATGTCATCTTATTTTGGATACGACTAAACTGTTGATTGACATATAACAATCTTTGGAAGAATAAATTACATATTAACATTTTTATATATAAGGCAATGTATGCAAGCTGGGAGATAAGACACACAAGACTTTGCCATAAATTTCCATCTCAACAATATATCAAAGTTGGATCCGTTCTTCGCAAGTTTAGCTACACTGTTGTCGCTCTTCATGGTTGCTTACAAACCGAGATTCAGGTAATCTTTTAAACAGTTATCGCATATATGAAATATAACATATAGTTAGTTTTATTTAATTATGTTTATGTTACATTTTTTTTCAAGACTCCAAGGTCTATTCGTATACTCTTCAAAGACCCTTGTGTTAGACTAGCTAGAGAAATCTGCAAAGTCTTGTCTGAACTCTCCGAAAGCATCGAAAACCGTCGTCATTGCTCGCCGGAGATTCTCTCCGATAGTCTCGAAGCCGCTTTAAAAGATCTCAACACTACAATCACATCACAGCCTAAGCTCTTTTTAGGCTCTAACCTTCACGGAGACCTCACCAACAAGCATTTAAACGGCCACGTTTCGTATTACAACGACACTACCACAAACGACATCGTTTCATATAACAACGATAATAATAACCCAAACGGTTGCGTTTTGGGACAAACTGTGGAACTAAACGACACCGTATCGCCGCTTCCGTTAAACAGCGTCGTTTCGCTCTCTAGCTTGCGATCGGTGAAGAAATCGGCGGCGATCGGAGAGAAGAGGAGACTGAGGAAACAGTTGAGCAAAATCGCGGTTATGAAGAGTTTGGAGTTTTCGGAAGCGTTACCGTTTGCTGCGTTTGCGTCGCTTCTTGTGGAGATGGTAGCGAGGCTTGATACTGTGATTGATGAGGTTGAGGAATTGGGTACGATCGCCTGTTTCAAGGAGTACGATAATACTGTGGACGTTAGAGTTGAGAAACCGGTTGATCTAGTGATTGGAGATTGAATTGAAATTGATCGTTACGATACGGTTTATTTTGGTTTTGTTTGGTTTCGGTAGAGATTGTATTGGTTTGTCTCGATTTTTCATGTGATTCAGTTTTTGGCGATTGATTTTGTGTTTTTACTTTCCGGTAATTCGAAGAGAATGTTCGTAAAACAAAAATAAACTAAAAAGAAAGAAAGAAAAAAAGAAACAGGGCCCAACCGGGTTCGAACCGGTGACCTATTGATCTGCAGTCAATTGCTCTACCACTGAGCTATGGACCCAAGTTGTTACAAGATTACAAAGTTTTTTTATTAATTTCTTAGTGATTTGAGAAAATCACACTATAATATAATACCAAAAAATATATTAACAAAGCTACTCTTATAAATAGTGAAAAGATGTTATTTTTTTTTGGGAAATTATTCTTGTTATGATAAATTAATATCCTATAATTTCAGTTATGCTCCTTTAAAAAAATAAAATTAGATTCAGTTTTAATCATTTCTTGCTTTTTTTTTCCTATATCATACAAAAAACTATATACCTTAGAAGTGTTTAATATTTATGGTCCCTCATCATTCCTTTTGTTAAAAGATTGTTTTACAAAGAATCATTGTTATCAACTTATCACATCCATAAAAGTTTATATTAAAGGTTATTTTAATGATGTCATATTAAATGATATCACAAAAAGATGTCATAATAGTATGGTCCAATTAATCGTTGTAATAAAAATGAGAGATTAGTCATTACCAAAAAAAAAGAGAGATTAGTGATTGACATTAGTGCATAAATACTATTTAACACTTTTATAAGAAACTATATTGATTACAGAATACAACTTCATATTTTTTACATAAAATATATAAATCCACACCAAAAAAAAAAAAAGTAAACAGAATAGTAAAAGTCATTCATATATAGACCAAGACCATAAGACCAATGCTAAAAGTCTTCCAAGACTCAAAAACAATAAAAGGCGTTTTTGTCGTAAAAGAGAGACGACCAAATACTCCGGTCTAGGAGAATTCCGAATAACCAAAGAAGCCGGTTTGATCGTATCCACAATTTGTCCAATATTGCATAGACTCATCCATGTTCTGATCTAAGCTGGTACTTGCCAGAAAATCCATGTTTTGGTTACCAATGATCGAAAAATCAAAGTCTTGTTGGTCCAAGTACTGAGATGCAACATCTTGGATTTGAGGATAGTCCTACAAAAGATAATTCAAACCAATATTAGATAAACAAAATTCGGTTTAGTCCTTAGTCAATAGAGAATTGTGTACACATACTTTTGAAGAATCGAGAATAAAGTCAGGTGAAATCCAAATGTTGGAAGATTCATTTTCAGTAGATATAGGATTGGCAAATGAGTGAAATGGCGTTGTTTCATCGCGACTAGGAGATGATACTCGGCTTGAAAACCCCGAGCTTTCTCCTGATCTTATAGTTTGTTCGCTTGGAATTTTTCGGATTTTCGAATTTGTTTTGATCTCATTCTTCATAGCAACACGACATAACACAAAAGCTCCCTATAAAATTAAACACATTCAGTCTTTAATGTTATCTTATCAAATGAAGAAAAAAAATATTACATTATATTGTATGATCAAAATGTGGAGTTGTTACCTTAAAATGTTGTGGTCCTTGTGATGAATCATCATCGCATAGTCGATATTCATGCATGATCCAATTGCTTCTATCGCCTAACGGGGCACGACCTTTATAGAAAACTAGAGTTTTCCTAAAGCCAATTATAGAAGATGAACGAGATGTAATTTTCCGATCTTTTCCAGTTGCTTTCCAATACCCAGCCTTTGTTCCTCGGTTCGTACGGAAGCCATTAGGATATTTTTTGTCCCTTGAACAGAAGAAGAACCATTCCATGTCCCGGTTTGGGAGAAAAGACTTGTCTAAAAGTAACAATGACAACACAAATATTAAAAATCTGAAAAGTTACCGCAAAATTTATAAGTACTTTAGAAGTTAATTAGTAGATTACCTGGTAACTCCCAAGGATCGAAACTATAAAGATCGATAACGGGGATGACTTCGAGCTCGATTTCGAGACCTTCGACTTTTCTTTTCAAGTAGTATTCGATGAGTTCTTCATCGGTAGGATGAAACCGGAATCCGGGAGGTAAACATGAACTTCCCATTTGCAATAACAAACTCACAATACGAAGACTAGCTACACAAAGATAAGGTTAAATAATCTTGGAATCGATATATCTTCAAGTCACGGAGCTACAACTGTTAATATTTGAAAAATCCAAAAATAGAAACTTTTCTCGACGCTCGATTTGTTGTTTAAAAAAAATTGCAAGTCAAGTCGATTGTATTCTTTGTGTGACAAGAACATTGTCTGAAAGAAAACAAACTATTTCGTACAATAAAATTGAAAAAAAAAACCACAAATCTTTAAAATCAAAGAAATGCAGTAAGAAAGTAATATTTGGTGTGAAAGCTTCAAAAAGTGATTATAGAATGATTAAGAAAGCTAGAGAGAGATTGTAGAAACTAGAAGAGGTTGGTAGAGTGTTGAATGGTTATGAAATGCTCAATATTTATAGCACAAGGTTGGTAGAAGATTGAATTATTCTATAAATGTAAATTGGAATTTTATAAAGTTTGTTATTAGAATGTGGCTTTTTATTTCTTACAAAAATGGTGGAAGACCAATAAAGTGATTAGGACATAACTTGTCTGAAGTGTTCTATAAAAATAAAAGTTCCAAAGCAATCGGACCTACCTAGACTCAATAGGTTACTTACATGTTCACACTTAGCCACAAGCAATTTACACACAACAACTCATTCCTTAATCATATGTTTCAAAGTTTTCTTCTTTGATTTGTCAATAATTTTGTCATCTAATTAACCATACAATTAGTGTATGACTTATATACAATACCAAATTCTATAGATTGTGTACTAGTAATGCCATTGTAATGTTGTTGTTGTATCAAATTAAAATTTGATATAGTACTTTTTTAGCTAGAGGTGCCAACGTAAGCTACATAGATATTTTTTTAATGGGGGTAACTTTTACACCTCAAGTTGTAAACTTTCCCAGTCATATATTACTGTGATATAGAGTTTTAAAATACTGTTACACGTCACAATGCGTAGGACAAAAGAACTTTTTAGTGTAACTTAAAACGTTTTTTAATGTCATACGAAAAGAAGAAGAAGAAAGTGATAAACGAAAATTATACATTTGAGTCGGAACAAGATCGTGGACCCGCGGCTGCTCTAATCGGACCAAAACATATTTTATTTTTTTCTATGTTTAGTTTGTTCAGTGTCTTTAAGAATGAACAAAGAGCCACTTTGAATATTATTTGTTGGAAAAATATAATAATTCAGAAGTTGTCATGTACACTTAAGATATAAAGTTTCTTCTTTTGTTAGCCATTTTGGAATTAGATAATCAGTTCATATTGCGGAGATTAGTTTACTATTTAGCCTAAAATATTCCGATTATATAAAGTACATGTTCATGGTTTCCCATTTAGTTGGACTAATTTTTTGTTTTCCATAGCAACTTGAAAAGGGATGCCTAGACTAGATACGATGACTAAAATTTACACTGCCATCATGACATTATAGGTCAATATTAGCTATTTAAAAAATATTCATCACTAACATATGAATCTGAAATAGTTTTATCAGTGCAGTTAACATGGTAACTCACATATAACTTTGATATTTTATAGTTAACTAAAACAAATATAATAGAGCCGGAGATGTTTTTGGCCACTACTAGAGCTAGAAGAAGAGCCTAGCTAGGGAGGCTCCATCTGGAAACAATGCTAAGAGAAATGGCTAATGGTTTCCTTTTACCTTTCTTTATCGCAAGGCATTGGTATTTGGTATATAACATCATGTCGGATATGATTACCCGCCCTATCTCGTTTATGCTTTTTGGAAATGGTTGAAGATAACAGTTTTGTTCTCTTTGTGAAATGTATGTGAAAACAAGATACAACTTGTTTTTACGGTTTCCCAATAGTATCACGATGATGCACATCATTCATCAAGATATATAAAGATGCCACATCATCGGATATTCTCAACGTGCCTATATACTTCTTTCTAACCTGAATCGAGTCTCCTCTACAAGATAACCAAGATAACCAAGAATCCATCCTTCGTGTTATCGCAGCCCGAGCTGTCACTTATGCTTAATATCAATGTTACACACACTCTAGTTGAAGGATTGTTTGATATCGAGTAATATGTACATAACACACACTTCTGCAGTTGTTTAAGTTTTCTTGCTAAATATAGTTTGAGTTTAATTTTTCTAAGTCATTTCTTTTAAGGAAAATAAAAAGCAAGAAATATAACAGAAGATCATCCTCGAATCCAAGTTTCAACTATTATATATATACATTCTATTAAATATCAAAATTATATTTAATTAGAATCTCATTTAGTTCTTAATCTTTCCATAAAAAGAAATGTGAAAACATACCAAATGTAGAATGGGGTGGTATGTTATGTCCCAACATCTATATTGGTGGGACAGTAGGCCAAGTAATGATATGGTTTAACACGTTTTTAGTTTACTCTAAATAGCATTCTTAGCTAAGTCTTTCACGAAACGTACGTTGAATTTTTGTATCTTTAATTGAACTGAGTTCTGATTATGATATGTATATGATTATATCATTGTTCTTCGTCTTAATAATATCAAAGTATGACTATCTACTACCTTGATTTAGACTCGTATAGTCGCATGCATGTTATAAAACAATGCTATATATGCTCCATACTTTGTATTTGATTTGTTGAATCGGTTTTGGTTTTGTTTAGTTCGGAATGGAGAGGTTTGGTTTCTAATTAAAAATGTACCTTAACATTTGGGTAGAGTGAGAATATTCATTCCCTCACTACTTTACATATTTTCACTTTAACCCATTGTAACGACAAAGGGAACACAATAAGAAAAGAGAAGTTATTAACATAAAATAATAAAACTCTAAAAGCATAAATAAATGCGTCATATGGAAAATATACTCGAAAAAGTTTGTCTATACGAATAACGGATCTATCAATATAATGACCATCCCCCCTTACACACAGATTCCTACATTTCGAATCAACAAATATTGAGTTGAATTTTCTATGTATAAACTACATTCCTACATCATCACATAAAATTCTGTATAAACAACATAATTATAATTATACTATTAAGATGACTTTGTATAAACTACATCATCATATACTTATACTATACCATTACATCATTACATAGATATATGGCTTTGTATAAACTACATCATCATATAATTATACTATACCATTACATCATTATATAGATATATGGCTTTGTATAAACTACATCATCATAACTATACTATACCTAGTTTGGGTTTAAAGATAATGGGAAAGTTGTTAATCATTGATAAATAATTAACAAATGAATAAATGCAATTTTATTATGATTGTAGACAAATAAAATATCATGTTAATTTGTGGAACCTAATCTATCTGACCGATAGGTCAATTATATCATCCAATGTTAATTTGGACGGCACATTGACAAAACTAGACGTAAATCTTAGATTGCGAGTGAACCACATAGACTTTTAGTCATAGTTATAGTTCTAGTATTGGTTATATGAAAATTTTGAACGTTAAAAATGTGTTAGCTAGTTAGAATCTGAAGTTAAGTGAACTAATACATAAATTGGAAGCTTAATAAAAGAGGAAGAGGGTGTCAAAAGAGAGAAGCCATGAACGTTGGAAAAGAGAGAGGACTCATCTTATCACTTAATCACACTTTTGTCTCCTCACCTTTTGCTTTCGGCTCTCTTTTTTTCTTTCTTTACTTTTATTTGCTTCTTTATTATTCTTTCATCTTTTTGTTTATGTTTTTGGCCTCTTCAAGTTTTATAACCAGCTATCAAAGTTTTGAGTTATGGAATCAATTATTCAAATGTATATAAGGATGATCAAAAAATAGAATTGTGTTGTGATAAATCAGGCTTATGTCATTATATTAGGTAGACTTGAATGATCCTATTTGAATGGATATAAACTTTTTATCATGTGTGAAGTTTATAAGGTATTGTTTTAATAATGTTCATTCTTTCTGTAAAAATGCAATGAAAAGAAATATATAATGTGAAAATCGATTAGTGGATTGACCAAACATTAATATTACATTTTTCTTTATTTGACTAGTACATTGGCAGGATTTGTTTTGTAGTTGTTCACAATGTTAAATTTTTGTGTAAATAATTGGGTATCATTATCAAAAGAATTTTTTCTCAAAATACCATATTTTAATCTTTAAAATAATATTAGTTTTTTCAAAAAAAAAATTTAAAATAATATATCACAATAAGTTTTCCTTTTCAAACATATCACAAAAGTTATATTATTCCAAAACTATTACAAGCATACAAATTGATTTTAAATATAGAGTATAGTTTTTAGAGGGTTAAATTTAGTGTTTTGGATTTAGAGTTAAGTTTTAAATGTAAAAAATATTAGTTTTAGCTTTGTGATATTTTTGGAAAATATGTATTTTAATGGTATTTTTCGAAAATAAAACTAAACATGTAATTTTTGGGAAAACCTATTTTAGTGGTATCTAAAAAATTGTCCTTTATCAAAAAATATAAATAACTCAAAAAACAACATTTGCATGCATAACTTAAATTTTTTGGAATTATTACCGGTTTTGTCATCTTTCACTCCAATTTTTTATATATGGCACTTTCCTTTAAATATTTTAGATTTACATTTTTACTCAATTTAAAATCTATACATCTATGAAAATTCTAGTAAAAATATTAAATCTTACAAAATGGAATAAAATAACTCAAATATATAATGTGGAAGATTGTCTTTTTGATATTAAAAAAATGAAAAATCTAGAAAAATTTAAGGTGAAATGAATACTACAGGTATAATATTGACATGATATTTTATATTACAGGCAAATGAGTATTCGATTCTCAAAACTGAATCAATACAAAGACTCGACCAAGCTTTTTAAAGCTTAACACCAACGACAATATAAACTCAAATCTCCTAAATAATGGATATGTTAATATACTTATTAAAACAAAAACCAAACACCTAGGTCGGTTGCATAAGGCCCAAACAACAACTGACCAACCTCATAGATATCTTGCCATTTGTGTTAGTTGTCAACTATTTCTAATTTCAACTTTAAATATGTAGACATTAATATGATCAAAAGTTTAAATTACAATAGTTCTTTTCCTTCCAATCCACAAATTACTCTGAAATTTGAAATTTGCATGAATTCCTCACTAACTAAAGATATCTACAAATGTATCTAACTAATTTATAGGTATTGACGAATCCACCATTAGTATGAGATTTTATAGCCATATTTTAGTTAATTATTGTTATTTTGC